GCTTTATTTTAGTTGAATACCACATATTAAGTTACGGACTTGTATATTCCAGGGATCTGGATCTGAAGAAGCCAATTTATCAGAGGACTGCAGCCTATGGCCACTTTGGTAGGGACAGCTTCCCATGGGAAGTGCCCAAAAAGCTTAAATATTGAAAGTGTTAGCCTTTTTTCCCCAGACTTGTTGGCGTAGGCTACAGAGAAGCCTTCAAGCTCTGAGGGAAAGGGCCCTTCTTGCTAAATTTTCCTGTCCTCTTTCAGCTCCTGATCAGTTGCAGTCACTCTAGTCAATGACATGAATTTTAGCTTTTGTGGGGGACTGTAAGTTGGGCTTGCTATTCTGTCCCTAGGTGTTTTGTTCACCGTTATGATGAATTTAGTGAGCATAGGTGATCCATGTAACTGCCTAGAAACAAACAACACTGTAGTAAATAATGCTTTGAGATTGAACCTTTGTGCCCTATCACCCAGCGCTCCAAAGTCCTAATTGCATTGACTTTCCCACCAATGCTGAAAAAATGTCCTTGTAACGTGCACGTAAAGTACTTGTAGTTCACTATAGCCTGTCTGGCGATGCCACAGCCCTGTCAGCATGAGTTTGTAATGTCTTGAGCTCTATTATGAATGTGAAGCCTTCCCCTTATGCTCCCTGTAACTTGATCCCATTTCTAATTATGTAGCTTTGTCAGGGAGTGTTCCCTATCCAATCAGTCTTGCATGTAGCGCAAATTTCCAGTTGGAGCTCTAGCCTGACATCCAAAAAAGGCAGTTACCATCAAACCACCTCCCTGGTGCTTATGCTCTTAATTGCCACCTCTTCAACGGCACCAAATCAATCTCCATTTCCGCTATCTTTTGGAGGACGTACGTAATAAGGTTTTTATTTAGTAAACCAATCCTATGCATGGTTTCAGCACTAGCCAAACCTCGCCAACTCCTAGCTCTAGAAAAACAGGCACTTGGCACCTTGTGATGTCATACAGAGAAGTCACAGGGCAGTACCTGAGGGTCTGTAGGTTGCACACTTTGGTACCAGATAACTTTTTTTTTTCTTTATAAGAAAGCCTGAGTACTCCACGCTGCACAATAACTCCTCCCAGGGTTTTAACTTTGTTTTATTTTCAAAACCAGGTCCAATGAGCTTTCTGAACAGCTGGTGTAGCTACAGAGAAACCAGCTTCCTTCAGAGAGCAGTGCTTTTGGCGGGGAGGAGAAAACCCCTTCATACTTGAACGTTTTCTAATTGCTTATTTATTGTATTCTGGGGTATGGCGTAAGTACAGAGAAGCCGTCACCTCAGATGGCAGCTTTTAAAAGATTTTTTTTTCTCTCAACACCATGATTCCTTTAATAACATGTTTCCAGCATTCCCAGGTAGGCCAAGGTGTCCTACAGAAAAGCCTTGGGTTAGACCTACTGGGGGTCTGGCTGGTGTTCATAGAAGGGAGGGCAGAGCGGGTGCGGCTGGCCGTGGAGAAAGCTGACTTGGCTGGTGTGGTACAGAGAAGCCAGCTTGTTTACATGCTTATTCCATGACTGCTCGCCCTATGCAGAAAGTGCCTTTCAGGATCTATTTTTGGAGGTTTATTACGTATGTCTGGTTCTCACTTCCAACAGTTTAATGAAGATCTAAATAAAATGCTAGGTTCTACCTTACCTGTGTCCGTTCTTCATTCTTCACAAGTGCTTGGAGCTGGGCACAGTGGCTCACTTTGGGAGGCGGAGGCAAGAGGGTTGCCTGCGTCCAGGGGTCTGAGACCAGCCTGGGCAACATGGTGAGACTGTATCTCTACAATTAAAAAAATGAGCTGGGTATGGTGGTATGTGTCTGTAGTGCCAGCTACTTGGCTGAGGTGGATTGCCTGAGCCCAGTAGGTTGAGGCTGTGGTAGCCTTGAGTGTGCCCAGGGCACTCCAGCCCAGGTGTCAGAAAGTGCTTTGGTATGAATATGACCTGTGAACCCGCAATGCAAGAAAATGCCTACATTTGTGGACCTGCTGTGTAAGCATGTATGGGTATATATGAGACCCAGTGGCAGAGTTTCCAATCCAACTTTTAAAAGTACAGTAAATGAGTTTGAAGTTTATTATGGTGAACATTGCTGTTTCCAAAGAAATGGCTCAACCTCATGTATGGCAGCTAGTGTAGAAAACCAGTAGACCACACTGGTCTGTAACCTAGAAGCTAGATGTATACACAGATGCCACCTGCTTTTATGGACGTGTAGGTGGTTGCTCTTAGGCTGCTGCAAACGTAAAGGTGCAAGGAAGACTTGTTTGTACCTGGAGGCCTAACTTAGAAGTCTGGGAGGAGGGCGTACGCAGGAGTATCAGTGAAACCTCAAACTTGAGAACTTGGATTTTGTGTGTCCTTGAGGTGCTCCAGAACAAGTTTGGCAGTTTCAGAATGATTTCCAGATGCTGCATTGCCAATAACTATACTGACAGTGGAAAATAGCATGAACTGCCTTTCAAAAGTAATTGCTTTTCTTTTTTTTTTTTTGAGTTGGATTGCCTGAGCCCGCGGGTTCGAGACCCGCCTGGGCAACTTGGCAAGACCTCATCTCTACAATAAATTAAAAAAATTAGCTAGGTGTCATGGCACACGCCTATAGTTCCAGCTACTTGGGAGGCTGAGGCGGAAGGATCGCCGGAGCCCAGCAGGTCGAGGCTGCGGTGGCTGAGATCTTGCCTGCCCAGGTGGGTCTTGAACCTGCGGGCTCAGGCAATCCACTCACCTCAGCCTCCAAAAGGCGTGGGATTACAGGCTGAGCCACTGAGCCCGGCTCCTGTGCTCATTCTACACCTAGCATTTGGATCTTTGGCCCTGATTCTCAACCTAAACATGACTCCACATTCCCTGCCCCAGCACTCACACTTCATGCTGTCTCAGCTATCAGTGATCACTCTTGCCCTCTGACCTGTTTCAGACCTTAGTTTGTTTCTAGTCTCCTTGGCCTAGTTGTTAGCTGCCTTCATTATCTTTTTTTCTTTTGAGTTGGGCGTCTGTCACCAGGCTGGAGGACAGTGAGCGGCATGCTCCCAGCCACCACAGCCTCACTTGCTGGGCTCTGGCAATCCTTCTGCCTCAGCTTTCCAAGTAGCTATAACTACGGGCATGCGCCACCACGTCCAGCAAATGTTTTGATGTGATTGTAGAGATGAGGTCTCGCCACGTGGCCCAGACTGGTCTGGAACCTGTGGGCTCATGCAATCTGCTCACCTCAGCCTCCCAAATTGCTGGCATCATAGGCATGAGCCACCAAGCCTGGCCCAGCCTTGCCTTCATCTTTACACACTTTTACCCCCAGGCCAGGCAGAGGACAAGATCTACAAGCTCCCGTTTCCTTAGCAAATAATGCACCCCATTTTAAAAAGTAATTACGTGGATTACCTGAGCCCGTGGGTTCGAGACCCGCCTGGGCAACTTGGCAAGACCTCATCTCTGCAATATAATAAATTAGCCGGGCGTTGTAGCACATGCCTATAGTTCCAGCTACTTGGAAGGCTGAAGTGGAAGGATCGCCGGAGCCCAGCAGGTGGAGGCTGCGGTGGCCGGAAGCGGCCACTGCACTCCAGTCTGGGTGAGAGTGAGACAGCAACTCAAAAAAAAAAAAAAAAAGTGGCAGATCAAAAAAGCCTTTTGGCAAAAAGAGCAGTGACAGCCCACTTCCCCTTGCAATCTGGATAACAACCCAGCTGTACTCCACCGGACAGCTTTTCCTGCTAGTACTGAACATGATCACCTTTTCTCTGCCTCACCCTGCCCCCAGTCTCCTTAGGAAAATGGGTCAGAGAAAAGTAAAAGTAAAACTTCCAGTTTGGGGCAATCAGCATCCTTGCCCATATTAAGAAAAATACTTTTGCCAGAGTCCCCTCCCAGGGGATTCTTGGGACCTAGTTTTCTCACCAGTCAAGTCTACAGGGTTTTAAGGGAACAGAAGCAAATAGCTAAACTTTGCTGCAAGGACATAGTGCCAAGGTATGTCCTTTTGTGTTACAGTGAGGTCTATAAAAGGATTGAAAACCAGTGTTTCCCACCCTACCCCCATTTTACAAAGTGACCGGGGAACCCTGTGCCACAGCCATTGCTAGCCCACACAACACCTTGCAAGAAACCAGGATGAATTTGCCACCAGATTCCACTTGGCCTCCTCAGTGCCCTTGCTTGAGCACAGTCTGCACAACTAACATGGTCCTATTCCAGCCTATCGCTAACTAGATGCGATATAGATATACAGTTGAAAATACAAAGGTAGTGGAGATGAAAATAGATTCAAGGGGTATTTAGGAAGTAAAATTGATGGGACTTGTCAATTATCAGGAATGTGAGGGGCTGGGTGTGGTGGCTCAGCCTGTAATCCCAGCACTTGGGAGGCCAAGGTGAGAGGACTGCCTGAGCCTCGGGGTTCAACACCAACTGGGGCAACTTGGTGAGATCTGTCTCTATGATAAATCACAAAAACTAGCCGGGCGTGGTAGCCTACATCTGTAGTTCCAGCTACTTGTTTTTGTTGTTGCTTTTTTGAGTTGGAGTCTCACTCTGTCGCCCAGACGAGTGCAGCGGCTGTTCCCGGCCACCGCAGCCTCAACCTGCTGGACTCCGGTGATCCTTCTGCCTCAGCCTTCTGAGTAGCCGGAATTACAGGCGCGCACTACCACGCCCGGCTGATTTTTGATTTATTGAAGAGATGAGGTCTCACCAAGTTGCCCAGGTGGGTCTCGAACCCGCGGGCTCAGGCAATCCACTCACCTCAGCCTCCCAAAGGTGTGGGATTACAGGCTGAGCCACCGAGCCTGGCAAGTTCCAGCTACTTGGAAGTCTGAGGTGGAAGGATCACCTGAGGAGGTCGAGGCTGTGGTGGCCGTGAGCATGCCCCTAAGCTTCAGCCTGGGTGACATGAGTGAGACTCCAACTCAAAAGAAAGAGGAAAAGAATCAAGGCTATGGCAGGTACAGCTTGAGTCAAAGGTAGAACGACGATTTAGTAAAGAAGCAGATCAGAGGTGGGAATGCATCTATGTTCTGTTTAGGATGGCGAGTTTAGCCTTATGGGACATCCATGTGGAGCTTAAACCTATAGGTCCAGGGCACAGGAAGGAGACCTAACGTCACTGGATCACAGAGTAGGCACTGTCTTGTGAAATATGCAGTGAAAAGGCAGGGACGTAGGAGAAAACCCTGGGATCCCTGTCCCAGGGGAAGGCGCCTGAGAACATGGGAAGAGAAGCCCAGGGAGAGATGCGAGACTTCTGGAGAAGTTCCCGAGACTGCCCATTAATGCCCAGTCGGCTACAAAACTAGAAGCTCCCAACACAGGAACCCTTATTTTTAAACGCCGCATTCTTGTTTCCTGGCTCAGTGCAAGCCTTTTGAGTTTTTGTGGACCAAACAGTTTCCTGAATCACCCTTGTGCATCCAAACCTACAGTGTCTGTAAACATCCCCTAATCCCTCATCCAGTGTGGTTAATTCTTATTTTACATCACCTTCTGCTCACTAAAGGCTAATAATATTAAATACTAAGCTTATTTTTAGAGAAATACTATCAATCATCTAGATTTCCTTATTAAGAAACTGATGGTGCTATTCTGACGACTCATAATTGCTAGCGAGAAACTGGCTACATACATGATAAGAACAAAGAAGGAAGGAGAGCTTTGTTGCATTTACAACCTGATCCCCATCCTAACATTTCTAATTAAGTTTGAAGCTACATTATTTCAGACTTATTATGAGTAGTTCCAAAAATTACAAGTGACAGGGTACAGGACCTAAGTGAAACACTTAAAAGTTCAAACCATCAGTCCACCTGTCACTAGCTATATGTCTTCGGGCAAATTATTTTGCTTCTCAGTCTAATGAGATAATGCAGATACACTGCTTCACATAGTGCCCAGCACAGAGCAAACACTTGGGAACAGCTAGCTATTATTGTTACCACGGTACATGAAATCTTTTTCCCCAAAGAGCCAGCCATTCTAAACCTAATTCTTGCCCTCATATCCTAGGAGGACATTTTAACAATGCTGCTAGCCTCCTCCTGGCCCCTGAATCTTCGATAACTCTTACCCTTGCTTTATTTCTTTGGCTTCTCTAAGCTGTCATATCTGAATCCAAAAAGAGCTTTAAAGAAGGAGGAAAAAAGTTAAAAAAAAAAAAAAAGATAATTTTTTTCAGATGTCCACTACACCGGATAGGCCCGTGACTGGCTTCCACATCTGCACCCAACATCTGGCCCCCCTCAGAGCTCTGAGTGGACATCAGAAACGGACTCGAGAGGATCAGGATCTGAAGAATCCGTATCTGAAGGACTCGATTCTTCCACTGGCTCAAAGGGCCGCAAGTTCGCGTAAGTCACCTCTTGCGCCAGCTGCTCCAGAGAAGGGCGGCCTAATACCAGATTTCGAAGTGAAATGCAAGTCATCAGGAAGCTGGAAAACAGGAAAAAGGCACCCAGTCCAAACCTGTATTTCAGCGAAGAACTGCAGCCAAAGCTCTCAGGGGGCACCTGGTTCCTGGCTCCTCTCACCCGGGCACTTATGAGAATCTCTTCCCGAGTAACCCTCCAACTCCCAGCAGGAGAGCCCCCAACTCCTTATACAGCCTGGGAGGATTCCAGGGCAGAGGGCGGAACCACAAGGAGGGAGGACACAGGCCGAGGCAGACAGAACAAAACCGCAGACACAGGCTTTTCCATTAATAAGCCAGGAAGGGGAGAATGGAGAGGTGAAGAGATCTAGAGCGGGACTGCCCTTCCTGGGAGAGTCACTAGCACCCCCCTCACCAGAGAAAGCTGCCAAGCTCGCAAACATCCGACAGCAACGACAAGTACTATTGTAGGCAAAACATACCTGCGGCGAAAGACATAGAGCTTTCGCAGCAAGAAGCGGGCGAGTCGCTCGTGGAAAGGGGCGTTTCGCCGGCGTTCCATCTCTTGGAGCCGCTGCTGGCGTCTAAGAAATGTCTGAACCAGAGGTGTTGGCTCCGGGCCCCCTTTGACTTTCCCTTCAAACAGAGGCTGCAGCTCTGGAGGCAGAGGCCCTGTTTCTGTCCAGAAGACAGCAGAGAGAGGACTCGCTGAGCTGAGCCCATGCCCCCGTAGAACACCCCCCTTCCGTCAGCCGGAGGCTTTCAGTGGGTCTGTGAATGGCTAGACGCTCGCTCCTTCACAACCCGGAACAAGCCCAGACGTTCCCGCACTCACCACTTCCATTCTCTACCTTCTCCTTGAGTTCTTGCAGGTAGACCAGGTCTTGTTCCAGGGCAAGCTCTGTAGTGTTGACGTAGATGTACATGTAGCAGGAAGGACCAGGTGACGTTGTGTGCACCTTGTGGTACTCGCCAGCAGGCAGCTGACAAGGGAGAAGGGAGGGACCTGGGTCACTCTAACCGTTCCCTAGCCTGGCCACAGGCTCCCTGCTCAAGGCCTCCTGGCACCTCTCTCCTGTGTTCTGGAGTCTAAACCACCTCACCCCTGGGTGAGGCTATCCACAGCCCGGGGCCCTTCCTTTTAGCTCCTACGGCATCGCTGCTATGGTAAAGAATCTGCAGTCTGCAATAAATGAACCCTGCTCATCCAAATTTTCTGCCACTGTTCTTCAAATTTTTTGAGATGGGATCCTCCTATGTCACTCAGGCTAGTCTTGAACTCCTGGCCTCAAGTGGTCTTTCCACCTCAGCCTCTTGAGTGGCTGGGATTACAGGCGTACTGCCACACCTGGCTCTTTCGGCCATGATGAATACCATCAGAATACCTGCATCTTCTCTCCTTCCTGAAGAGTCTGGTTCTTCTGTTCTGCCACCAACTCCACCGTCACCTCCCCCTGCAGCAGCTGGATGCTAGTGTTGCCCAGGTCTTCGCTCACAAAATTCTCCAAGTGCAGCCCTGCCAGGGGCAACAGAGGTTATCTTCCCACCGCACGGTACAGCGAACTCACTCCCGGCCAGGACAGAGACAGCACACATTTACCACCATCGCCCCCCGGGGCTCAAAGACATTCTTCCCACTAGGGACGCTTCACCCCACTCCACCACACAGAAGGTCCCTGCCAAGAAGCTGGGCAGAAAGACAGCAGAGCCTTTGCATGGTCCTCCATACCAGGGAAGTCTGCAATGAAGACCACCTCCGTGTGGTTGTCCAGGCTGCTCTTGATTTCCTGCAGCTTGGCCCTCCAGGGAGACAGGTCCATCAAGAGCGGCTGTAGCCAAGGTGTACGCTGGAAGGGGGACCAAGCGGCCTGCACGATGTCCACACGAGGATCAAAAATCCTTGGGGAAAAGACCACATTCTAAAGACACCACAGCCATTCACCCACCCGAACTTCTGGCTCTGCTCTTCTCATCAGTCCCGGGTAAAAGAAACGGCCTTATTTCAGCATGTTACTGGCAGTCCTAGGCAGAGAGGGATGGGAGGAAGAGAAGTGGAGCGTGGTGGGGGGGAAACGGGGTTAGTGGCTACCTGAGAAGGCACTGTATCAAGAGCAAGTCAGCGCACTGTCTCCTGGGTGATGGCGCCCCCTGCTGGAAGCCGCCAGCTATGCCCACAGCCCGACCACCAAGGCCATGCGAGGGTGCAGCCTTCCAAGCAAGACAGCAGGGGACCTGAGAGCCATGCCTTATCCCTCCCGTTCGCCTCTCCCCTTGCCCACCTCTGCTGGAAGCGGTCATTGATGGAGACCCAGATGTCAAAGTAGATCTGGGGCTCGGTGACGTTGTACTTGGGAAGCAGGCGGCTGAGGCAAGTGGCGTACTGCTTCAGCATGTCTGCGTGGTCCTTCCATCGCCGGCTCTGCGTGAATACCTGCCCCAAACCCCCACGTGAGTCCACCTCATCATCATCTGCTTCCAGGACGGGCCATGCACTCACTGCCCACGGTGCAAAGAGACCCCTGCTGCTGCCCATCATGGCCAGAAAAACATGGAACGCGTCTCGGGAATGAAGTTTCTGTTGCTGGGCTAGGGATACTTGCCTTTCCTGACTCCATCTGTTCCAAGAAGTGGCTGACACTGCCCTATCTTAACTCACACGAAAGGTTCGATCTGGCCCTTGAGAAAGGGCAGAGCAGACTCCACCTTGTTTTGCTTTATGGCATGTGCAGGGCAAAGCCGGCCTCCAAAGCGCAGGGGGGCTGTGAAGACCAGAAACTTGTCAGCATGGGACGTCTCACCCCAGGGTTGAGGTAGCCCAGCTCGCCCGTGCGGCCATCCCGGTAGGTGATCTTCACGTGCTGGTGAGAGCGGGAGTGCACCATCATGTCCCAGGAGTAGCCATACAGCCCGTTGGTCCAGTTGTTGTAGCCCTGGAGGGCGGGGGGATCGCTCAGTGTGGGCCACTGACCCAGCCCCAAGGAGAGCTGTGCAGCAGCCCACTCCCCGCGTGGTCGGCTCCGTCGCCCTCCCGACCCAGCCTCCGCGTGCGCCGGCAGCCCGCCGACCTGGGTGAGGAAGTGCGAGTAGGGCAGGAGGAGCTGCTCCAGGAGGTAGAGCAGGGTGAAGGCGGCACCCAGCTGGTGGCACAGCCCTGGCTTCTGGCCGCTCTTGGTCCGGCTCTTCCTGTACATGCAGGAGGCGCTGGGCTGAGGGGCAGCCTTGGGGGGCAACAGTTCCTGCAGCCTCATGGGGCAGTGGGACATCAGCTTCCGAGGCCACGCGGGAGAGCAGAAGAGAGGGCTGCTGGCCAGCATGACGTAGGGGAACATCCCTGGAAGGGAGGGGAGCGCAGGCACTCAGGAGCCCGGGGGACCCTTCAGCCCCACCCTGGGAAGCCTTGCCCACGCGTTCCTAAAAGGGCGGGCGTTCTTTTCTTTTTTTGAGTCAAAGTCTCACTCTGTGGCCCAGACTGGAGTGCAGTGGCACACTGCCGGCCACCGCAGTCTCAACTTGCTGGGCTCCGGTGGTCCTTCTGCCTCAGCCTTTCGAGTAGCCAGAACCACAGGCGTGTGCTACCATGCCTGGCTGATTTTTTTGATTTATTGTAGAGACAAGGTCTCGTCAAGCTGCCCAGGTGGGTCTTGAACCCGCGGGCTCAGGCAATTCACTCGCCTGGGTCCCCCAAAGTGCTGGGATAACAGGGTGAGCCACTGAGCCCGGATGGAAAGACATCCTTACCGCAGGATACTTGCTCTCCCTGGAGATCCCTTACTGTATGCCACACTGACCCCATCTCTCCCCATCTCATAGTGACTGCACTAGGCTCAATTTAGCTCCTGAGTGGCAACCCCCTGGGGTCCCCTCCTACTGTGGGAGCTTTTCTGCCCTCAATAAACTCTGCTTTAAAAAAAAGTCATCTCCTGCTCTCACCACCCCCTCCCACTCCCAGACTAGCCTCTGGCCAGTCCCTCCCCGCAATGCAGTGCCCCCATTTCCTCCCAGGCTCCCAGTACTGACCGATGCTGAAAAGCTGGGAATTCATGCAGTGGAAGTAGGACACAAAGAAGAGGCCAACGAATCTTGATGCATCGAAAAAGAGCAGGAAGCCGGCCGAGAGGTCAAGCAGCAGCCCGCCCCAGTGCACCACCAGCAGGCTAGTCAGCTCCTCCGACAGCAACAGCCTGCAAAGACATGGGCCACGTTTAACCGCCAGCCACTGGAGACCAGCGGTCAAGCACAAACGTGCCTTTGCAGCCCAGGGGGTGGGCGGACGCCTAAGCCACCCATGAAGACACCCCACAGCAGAGTGTCCCCGCCCCTTTCCACCTTCACACACTTTAGGTGTCCAATGGCTTTCAACACACCCTCTGTCATAAGCAAGGGCAGAAATCCTAGGACAAAATCTGATTGTAGAAGAAACTTTAAAAGGTGAATGTTTGGCTGGGCTCAGTGGCTCACAACTGTGATCCCAGCACTTTGGGAGGCAGAGGTGAAAGGACTGCCTGAGTCCAGGGGTTTGAGACCAGCCTGGGCAACTTGGTGAGATCTCATCTCTACAATAAAGCAAAAAATTACCCAGGTGCGGTGGTGCACACATGTGGTTCCAACTACTCAGAAGGATGAGGTGGGAGGATCATCTAGCCCAGGAGAACAAGGCTGTGGTGAGCCATGACTGTGCCACTGCATGCCAACCTTGGTGGCAGAGTGAGACTCTGACTCAAAAAAATACAATAACAGAAAGAGATGAGAAAGTCACCAGGGCTTGGTGGCTCAGCCTGTCATCCCAGCACTGTGGGAGGCCGACGCGAGTGGATTGCCTGAGCCCGCAGGTTTAAGACCTGCCCAGGCACCTTGGCGAGACCTCGTCTCTACAATAAATCAAAAACTAGCCGGGCATGGTAGCGTGCACCTGTAGTTCTGGCTACTTGGAAGACTGAGGCGGAAGGATCACCAGAGCCCAGCAGGACGAGGCTGCAGTGGCTGGGAGCGGCCACTGCACTCCAGTCTGGGCGACAGAGTGAGACTCCAACTCAAAAAAAAAAAAAAAGAAATGAGAAAGTCTTTCCCCTTGTTGCCCATCTATATTCCCTGGAGGCCCAGAGGCAGCTGGGCCTCCATCTTTTGAAGTCACAGACTCTGTCTTCTGCTCAACAGGGCACAAGGGGACAGAGCAAGTCATGTGGCAAACCTGGCAGGGGAGGAGCTGCACACACCACTGCTGTGGGCCTGAGGGAGAGAAGCTACCCGCTCTGTGCCTCGGCTGCAGCCAGGCCTCCACCCTGGCTGCCACTCACTTGAAGGGGCTAAAGAGCCAGTGCCGGGACAGGTGTTCCATGGAATAGCCCTCAACCCAGTCTGCGTCCAGCTTCTTCACACCCGCGATGAAGTACACGATGAAGATCTGCAAACACAAAGTGCAACACGAATGCTCACACACACAAAACAACCCTCCACAGATGGAGTCAGACCAGCACTGATCTCAGCCCGGGGCCTGAGGAAGAACAGGCCCTTTCTTCCACTCACTCATCTCGGAAGCTCATTCATCTGACACGGGCTGACATCCCACCAGTGCTAGGCTCTGCGTGAGGCACCAGAAAGCATACACACAGTCCTTTCTCTCAGGAGGATTCTGATCTAGCAGCGATACAGCTCTGTTCCTTCCATGCCGAGTTAAGAGAATTCAGAGATGAGGAGATTGGAAGAAATGGGAAAGCCAGACTTGCTTTCTAGCCAGGCATCAAAACAGGAGCCAGAGAGGCAAACAAGGTGTCGTTTGGCAGTGGGATGGCCAGGCTGACCACAAGGGCTGGCAGGAGCGCCTCCCTCCATCCTAAAACCCTGTACCTGGCCGCGTAGCAGTACGTAGTTCCAAAGGGGCACATGGGCATTCCTCCTGCGGGCACTCAGCAGGCCGTCCACAGACCTGTTCCGAGGGAGGTGAGCATTGAGGGTGGTTGCCAGGCAAGCCACTTTCCACCTTTCCTTTCACACACGATCATCCTATCCATCCCAGGAACACCTTCCACATCCTCCTGGGCTATTCTGAAACCCTTTAGGGTTACACGAGCATATTATGCCAGTAATTATTGTGAGTCATAAGAGAAACATTACTAGTAATAACCACAAGAAGTCCACAGCCGGGCTTGGTGGCTCAGCCTGTAATCCCATACCTTGGGAGGATGAGGTGAGTGTATTGCCTGAGCCCACGGGTTCGAGATTCGCCTGGGCAACTTGGCGAGACCTCATCTCTACAATAAATCAAAAATAAGCCGGGCGTGGTAGTGTGCACCTGTAGTTCCAGGTACTCAGAAGGCTGAGGCGGAAGTATCGGCGGAGCCCAGCAGGTCGAGGCTGCAGTGGACAGGAGCGACCACTGCACTCCAGTCTGGGCAACAGAGTGAGACTCCAACTCAAAAATTAAAATAAAAAATAATAAATAAATAAGTAAAGAAGTCCAGTATTTACTGTTAGCTCACAATTGAGTTTGTCCTAATGATTCAAATCAGGAAAAAAGACCACAATACTAGAAAGTGACTGAAAACAGGAAGGAATTTGAGGGAGTGTTTGAAATTCTGTGTGTGAATATGCATACAGCATAATATCTTTTTTTGTTTTTTTTTTGAGTTGGAGTCTCACTCTACTGCACAAACTGGAGTGCAGTGGCTGCTTGCAGCCACCACAGCCTTGACTTGCTGGGCTCCGGTGATCCTTCCGACTCAGCCTTCCGAGTAGCCGGAATTATAGGC